TTAGCATTTACCCTATCTTGCAAGGTAAAGTTTTGGAATTTCCAGTTTTACTAATGAGGAAGGGATTACACAACATAGTAGCATGAACTATGTAAGTTCATTTCAGTGAGCAAGCTGGAACCAGGATCTTTCACTCCAACCCATCCCATTGCCTCTCTATATTTTTAGAGTACCAGACCAGACCCGTGGTTAGGATGACAGTAGTTTGTGTCCAAATCACCTGGAGGGCCCAGAATTGAATTCTATTCTTATTACAAATCATTCTAAGAAACACTTAATTCATGAAAGAGACTGATGAGCAGTTGTCAGTATCAGGTAAAATTAAATAAAAAACAGTTCTAGATTAAATTAATCTGTCAGCTAAGAATTCTGCTTCATGTAAGTCAACAAGTGACAATAAAGAGCATCCTCAGCTGGAAGTTATTAGTAGCACTGGTAATTTCCAAAAGGAACTTGCTTGCAGTTTCAGTATTTTATTATCACTGACCACCTAGGTAGAAATCAATACTTTCAGTGTCCTAATGCAGGAACAACTATACTGTTAAGACGACCTTATGGAAAGAGAAAGAGAAAAGGCTATTATGCCCTACCCAACCCTGAGGAGCTATTTATACATCCTTTCATTTATAACTTGAAGTGGCCTGGTTACATCAGAAGCCAGCTTGCTATCCCATTAAGTTTATTGCTTTCTATCCCACCTGTTGATTTAGTGCTATCTTTCCAAGTTTGATTTATAAAGCGTACATCATAGCTGCATCCTACAGCCAACAAACATAAACCAGGACATCCTTGTTCCTTCCTCTGTGTTCAATCACTGTAACACACAAAGAACTGAGATGAATTACTATCATGTTCATGTTAAGTCTACCTTCTCCTTGTGTGATGTACCAAGATGATTTTTCAGAAGGAAAGAAAGAGATCTCAAGTCTTCTTTGTCCAGATCTTCATTGATTTCAGTCATCAACAACCTGCACACAAACCCAATTTGCAATTAATTTAAAATTAAATTAATTTTAAAAAGGCTTTGCTCTCCTATCTAGGGGCCTCTGCTACATATTCTTATACAATATTCCTTTCTTAAAACTATATTTTAACCATATGTATATTTTTCAACCAACAAGTA